AGCCGATAAAAGCGAGGTTAGAATCGTGGTTTATCGGGCCTAATGACATAAAAAATATTCATGTGATATGAATTAAATATTAACTTTATAAGGTAAAGGTAATTCCGTTCCAGGTAATTCATTTTTCTCTTCCATTTACTGTGAAATATCTGACCTCTTCACTTTTAATCTCCAATTTCGTCAAGTTTCAAAAACCGGAATATTTTTTTTTAATCGCTTTTTTTAAAATCGTTATGACAAAAAATATTGTTCGTCACACGGCTTAAAAAAACGTTACTAGCTCATATAATTACAACCCTCGCCTTCGGCTCATGTTCACCAGAAAAGATTTTTTCGGCTTAATGACGACATATAGGGCAGGGGGGCAAAATGGACGCTCTGAAAAAAATTAAGTGCTTATTTTCATAATAATTTTATCAACTATTTGTCATTTATTGTGGAAATGAACATGATAAATAGTGTGGAAAATAATGAGAATCAATAGGAATGTGATTAGGAACAACCGTAATTTCCATAGTAATTCCGATAAATGGTAATTTCAGAAATTGGGGAAAGCATATTTTTGACCTTCCAAACATACAGCTATAAGGATCAAGGTAGCTGTGTCGGGAAATAATAATCCACTACTTAGCAATTGGTTTAACTGAATTATGGTTTTTTTAATTGCGTCTAGAAGTATATACAAAAGTAAAGATGTTACGTAGAAGTCGGGTGATCGACTTACTGAGTATTCGGCGCTCAGCGCCATACTGAATTCGTTTTCGCAATCAGATCAAATATTACAAAGGTAATGTGTGTCGTGTTGTATGCGTGTGGGCCTCAGGTGTCTGTGTTCTCGGTCGACGCTGGTCATCGGTAACCCTTGTGTTCGGATGTAGCAAGATTTTTTTCATCGAAAAAGTACGTAAAAATAATAGAATAATCCAGTTAACAAATCAATAATTGTAGGCATTTTCACCATTATACGCAATCGTCACACTCAAATTCAAAATCGTCTGGGTTAATTCACACACATAATGAGTCCATCTTAGGCTCATCTGACACTGAATCCACTCTCCGGTACTATCGCGAAGGAACAGGTTCATTAAAGTTTTGAAGAATTTCATAACTGGAAAAATAAGGGGGTCCATTGTGCTCTAGAGGTCCATTTTGCCCTACCTTCCCTTAGTATTAACACATTGCATCCATAAGAGCTGTATACTCTCATCTTCAATCCGATAGCTGATAGTTTTAAAGCATTTTTCATTGCTCAAGCCCAAAAAGGGCTCTTTTACCGACGGTAGTTAAGCATGAGAAGTAGGTCTTTTTACCGTTGAGCAGTATAAAAGTGAGAAATGCACTACTTAGGAGTGAAAAAGTGAGAAATGCACTCCTTAGGACTGAAAAACGTGTGGCGCCACCCAGCGTTAATGTACC